CAGCTAACTTTGCCTTAAGAGTCACGGCAACCATAATACAAGTTAGATTAACCTAGGTACAAAGTTTCAATAAACTTAGATTGTTAAATTGTCAACACTATTTTGCAAGTTTGATTAACATAGGTGCAGAGGTTTAGTCAACTTTGTTTGAGGAGTCAAATTAAATTTAAATAAACCTGCCTTGTTTAGGTGACATTTTAAGAGTTAATGTTTTCATTAACTTTTTTAAATAGCAAGATTCAACTGTAATATTTCAAGTTGCCTTCTTTAGAGTACTAAAAAACTTATATTACCATTGGAACCTGTTTTATGTTTGGTTAATATATTTTTTTCAAGTCAGTTCAACTTAAAGTACTCAATCTAATACATTAGATTTTTGCAATTTAAACCAATAAAACTGCTCATGCTCAACTAATGAATATAATTTGAAACAACTAAATAACCCAAAAGCCAGTTTACTGCAACAGTCCACTTTATTAAAACGCATTGTTACATCCTTGCATAAATAGCTATAAACAAGATACAGTGGCCAGAAACAGTAACTTTTGTCTTTAGACCACAACTTGGGATGGAAGAACAAATCAAATCACTTTTCTCATTTAATATTCAGATTTTCATTAAGCTTAATTTTTAGAAACCCACCACGAGCAAGGATGGTATGGCACTGATATTAGTCTGTACCACATTTTATTGCTAGTTCTTCTGGGTTGATGTATGCTAATTGGTCTGAGTAGTGTAGTTCATACTGTATGTATTAGATTAGATTAGATTAGATAGTACTTTACTAATCCCTCGGGAAGGTCAGCAATACACCGACACATTACAGTTACAAGAATTAAAATTTGGGTGGTGGAGGAAAAAAAAAAATAGGATGAGTATATGCATCCCCAAAGAAATATTATTATTATGCTTTGCAGCACATTCTGTTAAAGTCAATATATCAATTGTAGAGGTACATATGGTCTGGATGCATTTCCTAGAGAGTCTAGGCTGAGAATAGAAGCAAAGCAGTTCATTTTCCATAGCATTTTCTGATGCCTTCTCTAAACCATAGAGGCTACTCCATCTCACCAAGTCACTGGCAAGCACACAAAAGCCATTTCTGTGGTTTTTTGTTCTCTTGCTCTATTCATCACAATCACGGTGGATTAAGAAAAAAGAATCTGTTAAGTCAAAGAAAGTACTGTATCATGCTATGCAAATATACATCCAGCACCATTGGTCTACAGGGGAGTGGGCAGTACCGGGAGCTGCACAGAAAAGGGCATCACAACTGTCCTGATACCTTTCTGCATATACTAATCATCCAAGGGCAGGACCCACAATCAAATGCACTGCTACAACATTAAAATATATACCACTCTGGAGACACGTCCAGTACGTCTCCTAGACTTTTTTTCTCTGACTTGACATCAACATGCTATAAAACTGCATATCAGGAAAAAAAAACACCACAACCACAGCTCTCTAATCTCCAAGATCAGTCAGAACTGACTAGCTTAACTCAAAAATGTATTGCAGCATGTTGCCTTGAATTTTTGAGTTGGCTGAACATTTTTTTTTACAGTGTACCAGCTTCTTCTGTTATTTCCAGGGCAATGTACAGAATGTACAGAGCAACTAGGCCAGTTTGGGTCCAATTGAACATATACATGCAGGAGTAAATCAACTCCGCATTATCTGGCTGTGACTTTGAGAAAGCCGATTTAGTACGATTTCAGTAGGACTAACGCATGCCAGACTTTTAAAATATGTAAGTCAGACTAACACAACAATTCAATTTTTTCCAACATCACATACTGACTGACATCTGAGAGACTGGCTACTCTGCAATCTTCTCCATCAGCCTA